GAGTTCAGTCACCAGAGACTAGGCTATCTACCAATATTCTCATATCCCCGAGCTCTGGCGGAATATTTTCAAAGTGTTTATATAAAAAAGGACTATGTAGCAGGAATATTATGAAGGAACCACATAAAAACACAACTTGGAACTTTGTTGTGCTACATGACCCCCGGTATATTTAAGGAATGATAACAATCAGGTGTTAAGAGAGAGAGAGAGACACACACGTGGAGGGAGGCCGGTTTAGTAATTGTTTACATAAGACCTGGATGGGTCTATGACTTCACTTATGTGACCCTCCTCCTATCAACCTGACCTCAATAACGGATAAACTACTGAATTTGATAACAACGGCTGAAGCTGAAAAGAACATTTGAAGCTGGTTTATATTCGCTAACAGCTTCGTTCACAAACTGCCTTCAATTCACTAACAACTTCCTTCATTGGGAGCTCTATTCATTTCCAACCTGTATTCCAAACCCTTCCTGGGTCAACATAGCCAAAACACCTTACCTCACACTTATCTACTAGCCTAACACTGCACAAACCCCACAACACATATTAAAATTATTTGGCATTTGAGACAAAAAAGAATGTTTTGTTATTACGTGGTATAAAATATTCATCACGTCGGTTGGTTGTCAGATGTATAAATGAAAAATTAATTTATTTACATCACAAACAGACGATACATATACTTTTGTACATAGATGGAAGACGGTTTGTGTATTTAGAGGACGATTTCGGAGTGCAGCAGGAGGCTTTAGCCATTTGTGCTGTAGAGTACCTTCTACCGCTAATGTAGAGTACCTTCTACTGCTGTTGTAGAGTACCTTCTACTGCTGTTGTAGAGTACTTTCTACCGCTGTTGTAGAGTACCTTCTGCTTCTGCTGTTCTGTGTTGTTGAGTACTTTTTGCTGCTGTTGTCACTTGTTGAGTACCTTCTCTTGCTGTTGCGTGTTGTAGAGTACCTTCTGCTCCTGCTGTTCTGGGCCGAGGCCGCGCCACACCTGCCAGGGGTCATTGTAACCAACCCACAGTAGACAAATATTTTCCTTGATATGTAAATAAACGGTGGAGATCTGGAGTGATTGTGGTAGGGTTGGTCTCTTGTGTTGGTCCTTGCTTTGGGCCTCCAGGTTCCACCCAGATAATGGCTGATCGACAGCCTATAGGCGCCAGGAGTCGCGTCAACTGACTCGCCTCGAATTGGACTTTGTTTCCCCAGGGGCAGCTCACAGAGACTGGACTTGATTCCTCTAGGCACCCAACAGGGACTTCTTCCGCGATATTTAAATTTAGGAAAGCCCGTGAGTTATTTTGAAGAATAAAAAATGCATTATTAAAGAAATCTGGAATGTTTTCGTGATTTTTATTATTAAATTTGATATTGAATTAAAATTAAATTGTCTCTGGAAGGTTTGATGGCTTGACTAGGCTAGACGACCATATAGAATAACACACTTTCCAAATCGTTATACAAACTTGGTCCAGTTTTTGTGAATTTGTGATTGTCAGTCTTACGCATAAACGCCTGTCAAGTCATACGCATTATTATAATAAATGTTATTTGTATAATTATTGTAATTGTAATTATTATTAGCTTTCGTAGTTCTCCATAGAGCCTCGTAACTACCAATTCAGGACTCGTCTCCTCTGCCCTACTTTCTCCAATACTTTCCCTATCAGCTCTCTGCTTTGCTAATATATATTTCTTTCATCGTCGTATTTTGTGTGCAATTAACTTTTCTGTCGCCAGTGAATGATCTTTTATTCAGTATATTGTAAAATGAGTCTACTTTTTCAATGAGATTAAATTTAATAAAATTAATTCAAACTGAAACATAAGAATATAAGAACATGGGTCAGACTGCATCACTGATGCCTATCTTGAGAGGTTATCTTGAGATGATTTCGGGGCTTTTTTAGTGTCCCCGCGGCCCGGTCCTCGACCAGGCCTCCACCCCCAGGAAGCAGCCCGTGACAGCTGACTAACACCCAGGTACCTATTTTACTGCTAGGTAACAGGTAACAGTGAATCACTGCCTACTGGCAGTGATTCAAGCATTTCCACTCGTGTACTTGTCCTATTTTAAACAACTTACCAAGTTCTAACCGCAATAATGCTAATTGGTAATTTATACCACTCGTCATTACCAAACCAATTTTGTCTGTATTCCTTTAAAATCAGAATTTCTCCGATTTATTTCAATTATTCCTTCTGACCTGGTTTGATACAATACTTTATTTATTTATTTATATTCAAGAAGGTACATGGGTTGTGAGAATCTAATTTTCAATTTCTTTTTTTATTATGCACCCCATACACATCCCGTGGGCGGTGGTGAAAAGGGTTACAGAGGCAAATATAATGGGTTCAGGAACCCCTTAGTTCATTTAGCTAAGTAAGTGACAATCTTGTGAAGCTAGTTACACAATTATTTATATTACATATACATGTACATATAGATATACAATCATTTACACAAATACATATACATATCGATAATCTTTCTATATCACAAGTGATTCAATAACATTGATGTTCTTATATTCTTGCAAAGCCACTAACACGCACTGCGTTTCGGCTTTGTTTATCTTCCTCTTGTAAATGACCTTGAATCACTTGTTGACTGCTATCATATGTCTCTTGTCGTTGTTGTTGTTGTTGTTATAGATTCAGCTACTCGGAACAAGTTCCAAGTAGCACGGGCTATGGCGAGCCCGTAGTGGACTTACTTGGCATAGGAGCGGTGCTGAGCTCCTGTGCTGTAACTCTTGTCCTTCGGCTCGCAATAAAATGGATTGATTGATGAAGATTAAGCCACCCAAAAGGTGGCACGGGCATGAATAGCCCGTAAGTGGTGGCCCATTTGAGCCATTACCAGTATCAATAGATGATACGGGAGGTCTGTGGAGGTGCGACTGCACCCTGCGTGACGGGAGATGTCTCCCGTCAATAAAATGGAAGTAAAGTTTCTCCAAAGCTGTCTTCTTAAGAAAGGTGCCAAAGTTCATCCCCAAGGAAATTATAGCTGAGATATCAGATATCAGCTGGACAATGTTGAAATATGCGAATTTGAATGCGATAAATATCTTGTTATGATTAATGGAAATCTTGAGATGTATAACTGTTTAAAATATGGCAAAAATAAATCTTTAGAAACTGTACAAAAATTTAAAACAAAGTTAATCTTAGGCATTAGTACTGAACAGATATTAAAAAAATAATATTTTGTTTAATAGATATTAAAAAAGTGAATATTTTGTTTTAGTAAGGCGAAGAGAAAGGGAGAAATATGAGTTTCGACTGGATGAAAGGTTATAACAGAGAGCTATAAATATGGTGGTAAATATGTCAACACATCATAGAACTCGACACAGCGGATACAAGTCAGATAAGTTCAAAATCAGAAAAGACCTGGGGACAGATTCACGAAGCAGTTACGCAAGTACTTACGAACATGCACATCTTTCTTCAATCTTTGACGGCTTTGGTTATATTTATTAAACATTACAAACCTGAAAAGCCTCCTAATCAACTGTTATTGTTGTTATAAACAGTCTTCTGGTGCTTCGGAGCTCATTAACTGTTTAATAATTGTAAACAAAGCCGCCAAAGATTAAAAAAAAGACGTACAGGTTCTTAAGTGCTTGTGTAACTGCTTCGTGAATCTGGCCCCTGGATAATTATCGGTTTGGAAATAGGGTTGCATATTTACGGAACACGTTTTTATGTAATTTTGTGGAGACATGGGGGGATAGGCCTATGTGTGGGTGTGTTTAGAGGGGGTGGGGGGGTTGTGGGCCACCAGCAATGAAGCAGACAACATGACATATCTCACGTAGGCCTGAGGCCTGTGGCCCAGCCTACTCTATTCCAATCCTCAACTGGAGAGGACTCCAATCAATTCGATACACAACTAATTAAAACTATTGCTCAGACTGCAGAATTGAAGATAGAAAACTGGTAAAATATAAAATAGAAAACTACAATTAACGGTCAAAATTAAGGAAAAGGACACGTTAAATGGTCGTAATTTAGAAGAAAACAATCTAAGCCTTCAAATTTGGGATAGTTTAACAGTAGGTCTTATTGAGTGTTCTCCAAATTATATTGGAAAGTGGATGTAGTGGGTGGTTAAGGAATAGGTGGTGGGGGACAGGGAGTTGATGGTTGGTGTGGGTAACCAGGGAGAGATTAGGGGGGTTGGTTTGGTGGGGCCTTGGTGGGGGGGGGGGGGTTAATGGCGTCTGGTCCACCAGTAGGCATGCAGTGCTTGCTTGACTTTATATTTCCATTTACTTTTAACAAATAAAGCTGATGATTTCCATGTATATATGATTACACATTGTTGATAGGTCGTGTTGTAATTACACTCAGTGGGCTTGGCAATAATACTGTATTTTGAAGGGATTCTATAGCACTACGTCGTGGGAAATTAACTTACGAATCGATCACCGAATCGAAGCATATACGTCTCACCCCGAGAGAAAAGTATAAAAGATTAAATGTCTGTCATTCTCCATTCACAGCCTAGCCACCAGAGCGGGTGTTTCCTCTCTACATCCTCGCGTGTTTGAAGACAAGATATTTATGACTGAATTTGATATCACAAGCACGGGTCTACCTTGTGTTCGAAGACCACCAGCCACCAAGCTGTGTACATTATCATCACTAGTGGTATGTAGTTGTCTCTGATTTATTTGCTAGTTTTATTTATAACTGAATTTTATTTGGCTAGGTATTTGATTATTTTGAAATATTAATTAATTTAAGACATGTGTTTGTGTATGTTATATTTTACGTGATATATATTTCCTGTTGTCAAATAGTGTTCTTATCGGTATAATTTTCTCCTTGTTCCTTTATTGTTAACGTCCTTATTGCTGTGCATTGTTCGTAATGCGGGTCTTGACTACTATCTTGCCCCGAAGGCGTTGCACCACCTTGCGGTGGCAAGAACTTTTTGTATACATGGAATTTGAGTGACGCCACAAAGTGTCCTACTCGTTGGCTGTAAACAGCTGCCGTGGCTCTTCTCTCCATTGAATAACACTTGTCTCGTGTGTACAACAGTTGAGCTGTTCCAAGCTGTTGTTTTGAAGAACGTTTAAGTGCTGTTGTGGGAGCCAGACGGCGCCGACCACGTGACTACACCTCCTCCCTACTCGGCAATGATCGGCACGAAACATTACGATACAATTTAACCCGATTATTCCGAACTTGCGTATTGTATCGTCGAAAGATTTTTACGTACAAGCGCCACAGCTATATCCTCGCGAATCGCCACACAAACTAGCCATTTTGTAATGGTAAATTAGGGGAAAATAATGGGTTTTTGATAAGGGTGCGTGGTTACCGCCGGGGGAGGTGCGCGTGGATGGGCCGGGTGGCGCGGCCGGCGCTCCCTAGTGTGTTTACATCAGTGAGTGAGGCAGCATGAATCCCACAATTCTCTTCCTCGTCTCGGTATTGATAGTGACAACGCTTGGCACCGCTGACGGTAGGTGCTCTAGTGGCTTTGGCGTAGTTTAGAGGTGTCGGGCTTTGGTGTTTGTGCGTTAGGTTGGTAATTTTGTGTTTGTGGAGGGTTTTGTTGCGTGGTCTGTCCTTGACGGGCTTGTTGAGCTGTGTATGTATGGCGCCTTTTGAGGGGGGGGGACATCGTTTTCTTCCTGTTTGTTTACTTAGCTATGTGCGTTTGTGTGTATATCGACTCTTAGATACTATTGGGCTTCTTAATTAAGACGGCGTATAATCGTAGTTAACAGGCTATTACGCAGAGCTCGTGTTAACGCCTTACACACGTGAGCCTAACGGTATGGTGATTGTTCCTGGTAGTCTTGGGATTCCCCTTATAAGACAATTTTCCGTGTGGCATCACTAGTTGTAAACTTCTTAACTGGGAGGACAGGGGGGGGGGGATCCTATACGGTATAAGCCATTATTTACTAAATTTATAAAATTATATGAAATTTGTACTAGTTTAAATCTGAACATGGGCGAAGTGGTAGACGCAAATGAAGTTTATACTACCTCATTAGTTTTTTTTTATGGTTTATTACGTATGTGTAGCGAGCTTAAATAAGTACTTTGACTATATCAATATAAAATTATGGTAATATTGGTTTAATACAGGGATGTAACTGACCTTATCAATGTGCACTTGGTTCCTATCGTGGTTTCAGAAAAGATTGTACAGAGAATGGGGTGCTAAAATCATAGGCACTTAACTTTTACTGTATTTGGAAACATTTTAATTTTGCTAGGATAATGAAAGCCTCGAGTAGCCATTTTAGTCGTATTTGCAGTTGCTGAATAGATTCCAAACATGGCCCCTGTTTTAACAATGAAATAGTTTAGTACATTATATAAATTGGGATCTGAACATTGTTAGCTGTAAGGTTGTGTAAATGAAAATACCAGGAAAGGTATGGCATCTCTAAGATAATTTTAAAGCATCGATTTCGGTGATTTGGGTAGGGAAATTTTGGCCATGCGTTAGTTTAATTATGGTAATAGTTGCATTCATTCTAGCACTTTAGCTATAGTAATGTAATTCTACAATGTTCCAAGTTTTGGTACAGACCCGGTTACCGGATCCTTTCCCTTTCGGTTTACCGAATCCATATTCTACGCTTTACCGTAGTTTGGTTATTCCTCTTAACTCCCATAGAGGTATCTCTAACATAACTGCAAAATATTTGCCTCGGCTGTGCAGCTGGCAGCTACGTGGCCTCCCAGGCATCGTACCCTGTAACCTGTTGCCAAAAAGTCTCCTTCAAGCCGCGTACTTCACATTCCTCTCGGCGGGTGGTCTATATCTACACTCGCTACGTAACTCCTGCGTAATTTTGCGAAGATCTTGTCCAATAAAATGCTACATAGTTATCCCGACTTGGGCAGTTTCAACATTCTTTTGACGCTGTAAAGGTTCGTCGTCTGTAGCCGCCCCCCCTTTCCCGGTCTGTGAATTCTTAGTGTGTTGTAAATATGTTCAGCTTTAAAAGTGGTGTTTCAGCTTTACAAATGTAAAAAGTGCTACTGTGGACTCTGAAAAAGTTTGAACCAATTGGTGGTGGTGGTTGTCAATTATAACGTGTTGGCGTCTTGGCATAACTATAATTTTGACTTGTGAATATAAACTTTTGCCAAATTAGTAAGACACTCCATGCAACTTGCATTTTCATTCCTCAGTGCAATAAGAAGCTAGTGACGATGCAACGACCAGAGCCACCCAGAGCCACCAGCGTAGCTGCAGCGCTATCCACAGCCCGGTGGTCTATACCGTCAACGTGGGCCTCGGCCAACCGCAAGAAGGAATACAGCGTGTCGGATTCTTCGCCGTCATCGTCGCCGACGTCGTCGCTGCTAAACATCAGTATAAAGCAGAACTGGTGGTGCACCAGCTGTCGGCGGCCGAGGGAGGAATGCGAGTGTTTGTGTGTGATATCTTAAGAGCCACAGCATTATGTCGCTGCAGGTGGTGGTGTGGCTTTGGGCGAGGGAGCTCGTTGATCTCTCGTTTTCAGTAGACTGTCCTCGGGCAGGAAGCTAGAATAAATGTTCATTTGTAAAGTGCATGAAGTGCTGTACGTGTATTTAGTTAGTGACAAGGCCGTTGCTGACTGATGGCAATCAAAGATGGCATGACTTTCAATCTGAAAAATTAAAATACCTCGCAGGTAAAATAAAAATTGGAGACTACAGATCGTCCAGGCTTTTGCATTGGTTAGTCTTGAGTTTTGATTCTCTTTAAATTCACTGTTTCATTATCTTAAGATAGTCATGAAACTTCCAATCTACTTCACACATTTGTATTTAATATTTATTGGAATTTTGTACTGTATTAAAGATACATTGGTATAGATGTCTCTTTAAATAGTAACCCTAATTTCTTCTGGACGTATGCAGTGGTAAGTTGTGCTTTAATGAGGCTATTCTCATGTGATCGATGAGGCTAATAAGGAGGTAATCACGAAGGTGTACTATTCGACAGTTAAATTACATTGCCGAAAGATATGGTGTAAACCGTCTGCTTCTGTAAGTGCTTCACGCTAAATTTTCACCCTGGTGTGAGTGCTCGTGCTAGCTAACGAATTGTAAATCTTCATGGTGACCTCCCTAGTATTAAAAACTTAATATCTAGTAATAAAAGGTGTTCTAACGTAATGTAACTTTACGTCAACATTTGGACCTTCATATGTAATCGCAAACATTTCATTGTCATGCATTTACTCAGAATCTGATAAAATAATGTTATATTATAAACTAAGGTGTTAGTTTTAAGTTTCCCAGACTGCATTTGCACTTAAACCATTTCAGACCATCCCCCATATACATTTAGATCATAACATAAATGTTGCTCAATCTAGAATTTATTTTTTTATAAATACATTAATCAGTTTAACAATTCATAGTAGCTATTTATTGTTAGGTTTTAATGTGGTTACGAAGGTAATTGTTCCTCTAGTAGTTTCGATTTCCACTATTGTAGATAGTTTATGGCACGTGGATTACAGGTTGTGATAAAATTATCTTGACAGTTCTAGAGACCAATGATTTGGGAAACTGTACATTGTTGGTGCTCGCTGCTATTTTAATTGCACTAAAAGATGTGAAAGTACAGACTGGTGGGCATTGTTAGGAGCCTGCATTATGTAAGATGTTCCTGGTAGGGTGAAGAATATTAATTTCCATGTTTCCCAAAAGTGGCCAAAACACTTAATTTTAATAGCCTGTAAATTGGCTGTTTTTGACATATCTTGTAGCAGTTTTACACTGCAGCCCTACACATGCCTTATTAGTCCTTAAATTAAACATCTGGTATTGACAATTGCCTGTGTATATAGTTTAGTTTTGTTCCTATAGGCATTTAATATTTTGAAGTTTATATTGTACCTTAAGTTTAGCTAAAGGTAAGGTGCTGTAGATTTAGCTTGAGTAAAAGATGTGTGCACAGGCTTCACAGAATTAAGTGACAAGCCTTGCAATGTTTCAAGGATGATTAGCTTTAGTTTTTTACGTGAATTGGCTGCAGTATACTGCAGTAAAACAATGTATGTACAGGTGCTCTTGTATTAAACTAATAAATTTAGTGTTATTTTTTTTCTTCCTTTATTTGCTTGAATGTAATTCGGATCTTTTTGTTGCACTAATCTCTAAATGTAGATTAAAATAGGTTGATTTTATGGTCAAAATTTCAATGTGCTCGTTTTACTGTTATAGGCCTATGGTAGGTCTGTCGGTTTAGATAAAACATTTTTACCACACTGGCCTGATGTATTGGAAAAGTAAATTACATAAAATGCCTAAATGTTAAGTTTAAAATTGTGGATTCAAAAGGGTTTGGTATTGAGGGTATAGAAACAAGATACTGTGTGTAGATGTGTGATTTTTCAGCGGCTAGAAAGTTTGGCATAAAGCCTTAATCATGGCAACATTATGCTTGTGTTGAAAATATTACAGTATTCATCTGTAATAGCATTGAAGTCCCTCACTGAATGTGGTAAACTGGCAAAGATATGCAGTTATTTTTCTTAGAGCAAAAGTTGCTGTGATTTAAGTACGACAAATACGACGTGTTTAGGTTAGTATTTTTAAATGTTCAGTTTAGTACTGCAAATTACAAATATTGTACATGCTTTCCGTAAGTTAAAATATAATTAGCGTGGGCAAATCGTGCCTTTCGTAAGTTTTTTTTTTTTTTCTCCTCTCCTTTAGTTAGGAACAGGATAACTGGATAGGGTTTCGGGAGTTCTACTCGCCCAAGGCTCGACTTGTGATAACTTGGTTCAACAGACTATTGCTTGGAGCGGCCTGCATACTCACACGCCCACCACAGCCCGATTGACAGATTCTTTCAAGAAGTGCCAGACCAAAGTGGCTCTTGAATACATCCACCTTCGTTCCGACAATTATTTTATTAGGATGCATAACTACTGGATCTTGTAAGGCATGCCTACTGAAGCCCATAGTGTTGGGAAGTGGTGGTTGTGGGTAAAATTTGGTTTACATATTTAACCTTGACACAACCACGAACGCTCAAACAGGCAATACATCATACGGAAGAGATGCACAGTTGTTAGTTGCACAGGTGTTCTGCCATAAATGTGTTTATTTGGTAATATGTGCAGCCGAGCAGTTTTTATCTTTACTGCAGAAAGTTTTTATTCTGGAAAACTATACTGATATTTAATTCTTTCGGAGGTAGGTAAAGTGTCGCGTGGGAGGCATAAGATAGTAGTCGAAGTAATTTAAACATTGAATAAAAACTAGAGCTCGAATGATTGCTATATAAACTTTAAAACAATTGATTACCAAATCTAAAGGCATAATATCCATTCATTCGTTGGTATGGAAGTTGGCGTATTATCCAGCCCCCTCTTCGTAAAGGGAGAAAGCGCCAAGCAATTAAGACTTCATAGCACATGGAAAGGACAAGGATTTAAGATGGTACGGAGGGGGATGGAATGGTGGCCAACCACTTTGACGGTCGGGGAG